CTCTTCTGGCCTGGGGCTGTAATGAGGAAGAAGGAAATAAAACCAAAGTGATAGCCCCACTCAAGGAACTCACCTGAGTGTGAGCGAGCTCAGTGGAGGCCATCCACTGCGGTTTGCCCCTTCACTGGCCACACACAAGAATCCCATTATGGCCCTGCTGCCCTTTAGCTTGCTGACACCAATGGCACTTTTATTTTCTTTGCTTTGGCTTAGTGTTCTGACCTGTCATTGCCCCATACATGTTTAAAGCTCCCCTTTTGTCCCAAGTTCCTTGGAGTGACAGCGTTTGTTGTATTTCTTAACGCCACCTGCCAAGCCCACTGACAAAAGCTGACTGGGGACAAGGTAGTAGTTGCTAAGCAAATCAGTCGTTCTGAGACAATGCCTTAAACTCCGCATGAACCAGTAATCTGGGGTGGAGAGGCCTAGTGGTGGCTGCTGGGTCCCCAGGAACATACCTGGTGCTCATTTGGAAATATGGTGGACTCCTTGGCAAGGTGGGCAACAGATCCTGGGCCCCTTCTTCCTTCCTTCCTTCCTTCCTTCCTTCCTTCCTTCCTTCCTTCCTTCCTTCCTTCCTTCCTTCCTTCCTTCCTTCCTTCCTTCCTTCCTTCCTTCCTTTTTTTCCTTCCTTCTCTTTGTCTCTGTCTCTCTCTGTCTCTCTTTCTCTCTCTCTTCAAGTGCTGGGATTCCTGGCCTGCACCGCCACATCTGGTTTATGATGTTCTGGAGTGGAACCCAGGGCTTCATATATGCTAGGTGAACACTCTACCATCTACAGCCCCGGCCCTGGCCCCTCTTTTTTAGGGTTTTCCTTTTAGGTGGGATCCTTTGGGTTGGTCAACATGACCCACTCAGCTTGCAGCTCAGAATAATCGCCTCAGTCCTTAGAGAAGCTGGGCCCTGCACATCTAGAGAAACCATGGCTTGAATGGGGCCCTGCCTGCCCAGAGCCCCGCAGGGCTCTGCTGGGGCTTGAGCCCAGGACTGCTCAGGCCTGGGTTCTCTCGTGTCTTCCTCTGAGCGGCTGCGGCAACACTTACTTCAATGTTCTCCTAACCTTGGTCACAGTGCTTCCTGCCCTGCCTACCTCTGTGGCTTCCCAGACTTGAAACATAAAACTCCCTAGCAAAGGTGAGAGATAAGTGGATAGAACATTCTAACAGATCTCAGGGAAAGGAAGGCCAGGAGGCCACTGGAAGCCAGAGGACAGGAGAACGATGAAGAGGCCTAGGTGTGTACCTCAGGTGCGTGTGACTGCACCTTAGGTGAATTGCCTACATACTGACATCTAACCCAATGTTTCACCCATGTGAGGGAAAGGGGCTCCAGCATTCACAACCCTTGGATCAGAAGAAGGGTCCCCTACTGGTCCTGACTGACTGGACATGTGTCCTCTGCTTGAGGTTGAGTTCAATCTTTGCGCAGATACTTGGGATTTAGGAAGGTTTGGAGGAACAGGCATGGAAGTATAGAACCAGAATGAGCTGATCAAAAGGAGGCTGGCTCTGGGCTAGGATATAGCCCTTTGGAATGGCCTCTGTCACTCACCCCTGACACATTCACCCATGACTGTGTGGCTGAGTTAAACCAGAGCCTAGTACTTGTTCATGAGGCTGGGCCTTGACTCTGAGCTTATGTTATTCTTGGCTCTTTTTAAGTATCCGTTGGTTTGTGACATGTTGGGGTAGGGGAGATGAAAACTGACTTTAAAAAAGTCTTTCTGTTTACCAAATAAAAAAATCAACACCCTTGTGTTGGTCTCAGAAATGGAATTTATTTTAAGATTTGCAGGTGTGTGGAATCCAGCTGGAAGAAGGAAGTTCACATGGCCTTGAAGTATGGGGCTCGGTAGAAGGCCTCAGCTCTCTGGCCTCCTGTGCCCCCGACTTCTCCTTCCTTGAACTTTAACTCTCAGTCAGACTGCCACACCCCAGCCTGGCCTACTTCAAAGGCTGTAGCCCACAGGACCAGTGCCCATCTTGGTCCAGGCCCCTGCCTTCTCTTCCTTGGCTCCACTGTGTAGCTGGAGAAGCCCCCACACCTCACTTTATTTCCCTTGTACCCCTGAACCCACCCCTTCATTAGCTCCTTCTTCTCCCAATCCCACTTGTGTTATTTTCCACTACATTTCCAAACATTCTGTTTCCACCTTCCAGACAAATCAGCAGGTATTCGTTTCTCCACTCTCCTTGAAGTCGTCACAGATGAGAAGGTATGGGCGGACCCCTTCTGCGTAGTCCAGTCCTAGCTGTCACGGGCTGTTAGGGCTCCAGTCTACCTTTGACTCTGGTCCTCCACTTCTGGCCAGATCTGCAAAGGACTTGAGAACAGGGCTGGAGGAGAGATTGGGGTCTGTGGTGTATTGACTGTCGCTGAACCTGAAGACTAGATGGACTGTCATGAGGAGGAAGAGCTGAGGGAAGGACATGGTCCCGGGAACACTTGCTCTCCAGACTCCCACCTTCCTTCTGGGTCCCCTGTCATATAGGTGGCACCCTTACTTGGTGTCAATTACTCAAAGTCCAGCCGGGGACCATTCTGGGCTCCCGAGTTTCTCGTGTGCCTATTTCCCCAACATAACTGTCATCTATGGAGTTTCCTGTGGTCACTGACTGCCTGGTCCATGGAGTTCAGGACCATTTCTCCTTCTGTGTCCCCAGATGTAAAGCAAATCTGGCCCAGTGACAAGGTTCCTTGTGTGCTCTTCAGTGTAGACATCCTCTATGTTAAGCAAGGTTCTGAACCCAGGTATGGCCTGTTGTAACACATCACTGGGCCCTATGTGGCAGCCTTGGGTTTTGTTCTACAAGCTCTAACCAGACATACATAGTCCAGAGCTCACTCTTTGAGAGCCAGGGCTTCAGTGAAGAAATGGTCAGGGTAGGGTGGTTCAGTCACAGGGAAATGGTCCTCCTTCTTTTAGGGCCTAAGACCAATCTACTTTTGGAGGTAGCCTAGTCCACTGGATTTGCAGTCAGTCTTGATCAATTTCACCCCAGCATTGCCTTGTCATTTGCCTCCAGATGCATACCATCCCCACCCTCCAAGAATTGTACAGCCAAGTTTTAGACTCTAGGGCAGCTCTGACTTGGGAGTTCATTTGACCACATTCTGCCCTCTCAGAGGCTTTTGTCCTTTTAGACTCTTGTGGTTATTGGTGATACCTTTGTTTCCTGTTCATCTCTCCCTCACAGATCCAGGTGAAGACTGAAGGGAAGAGGAGACCCTCCAGCTGGTCATCCCTTCTGCATGGCACTCCCCCAACGTCAACCACTTGGGGCTGAAAGCCTTCGGATGGAGGAAATGGGCCTACCTCTTACTTCTGCCCAGGGGCCAATGAATACCACTCTCTGACCCAACTGGAATTCAACAGGATTCCTTAGATGAGCTGAACAGGCTGTGACCATACTCATGCATGTTCTGGCTTGGAGGTGGCCTAGTCAAATTCTCCTATGTCTCCAACTTACCTGGAGCCTTATGTCCATGATTCAGAGGGGCAGTTATGACACCAAGCAGTTAGAGGTGCCCAGAACAGTTTCTTTGTGCAGAAACTGCCTGAAGAGGTCCATGACAGTCTCCTTTATCTGGGTAAGAGTTGCCCTTGGATGCCATTCAGTTTCCTTGTTCTTATTCTTTTCTCCCAAACAAACTATTGGGATATAATTTAGCCTCTCACACAGACTCATTCTAAAGCCAAAATACACTTCCATTGTCAATGACTAAAATTTCCTGGTGTGCCAAGAGTACCTAAGCAGTGTATTATATTAGTGTAGTTGGGCTTCCAACAATCTGATTGTCCTGTGGTGAGTTTGATTTCAAAGTCTATCATGGGTGATGGTGCTGTCCTTCTGAGGACCTCCCTAAAACAGCTGTCCCCACGGTCTGAAGACCCTGATGAACACAGAAGTCAAGCCTGGAATGTGGCTTGCCTTTGGATGAAATTAGAGGCATACTCTCATCCCTTAAAGGTGACTTCACAGCATCCCACTAGAGTCAAGTGCAGAGACCACGGGTTAGCAGTGCAAGATGAAGGAGCCAAGTGCCCTGGGGTCTTATGAGGCAAGGCCCTCCTCACCAGGCTGGAAACACAGGCAATTCTGCTGAGCCGGCTGCTTCTCACCAGCACTTTCCACCACAGAGAGTATCTTACAAATATCGAGCAACCTTCTCAGAGTGTGAGGGTCTATCAGAATCCTGGGATGCAGAGTGGGGTGTCCTAAAGAGCATGGGGGCATTTACGTAACAAACCCAAAGAAGGGGATTGAGTATAAGACAGACAGAAACAAGGGGCAAGTAGTGTACCTTTGCCAAGTCCCGAGCATCACACAGTGTGATTGCTGAGGACAAGATGGTTGTCAAGGCTGGCGAGATGGTTGGGAGTGGTTAAGTTTGAGGCCCTGCATTTCCCAGCTCTTGGGCTCTGGCGTTGGTGAGACTCAGATGTTGGTGGCCCATCTGGTGGAAGCTAGTATGGGTGCGTGGTCTGGGTGGGGCACCCCCTCATGCCTTCCACTCTTTAGTTGGTAAGCGAGGGCATTCTCAGTCCTCTGAGCCTTGGTGATGCCCACAAGAGCCAACTAGGAGGACACCTGCCAGTATAAACCATCCCAAACACATGCCTTCCCCTTGGCACCATGTTTCTTATTTACCCAACAGCCCACATCCTGTTTCCCATAATTTCCTTAAGACTCTCCAAGATGAAAATCAAGGCCATTTTCAAGGAGCCATTGGGAGTCTTCAATGCTCACCTAGAAGGAAGTTTTATCACTGAAGTCAGGCCCTCTGCATTGGGCAATAGCCAGATCGTTCATACCACAATCAATCAAACACACCTAACCTTGTTCCCACGGATTAGTCAGGCAGTTAACAAAGTTCCTCACTTCCTTCATATCGATTTATAGCAGCAATAGAAATATACCACCCAGGAGGGCACACCTCCTTCCACCCAGGAACTTATAAATGTCAAGGAATTTCTACTCAAATTGAGAGGAACCTGCACAATGGGGATCTCCACGGTCATCATCCATATATGTCTCTTATGGGGTCAATTTCTTTCTACAGGTATTTTTATCTCATTTTTTATGCTCATGAATTGTGCTCTTCCAGGTACTACAAGTAGCGCTGGAATTGGGGAGGCTTCTCTGAGTCACTGACATAGGTCCTGCTGGGCTAGATGAATTTGTTCATGGACCTGTGACTGTCCTTCTCGAGGAAATTATTTGCTATAATTGTAAATACTTGCAAGTGTGTAGAAGGAATGCTCTGCTTCTGCCCGGGAGGTACACACGGTGGCAGTGAGAACAAGCAGCCATTCTGTTGATGTTTTCAGGGAGTTGTTCAAGGAAGGGAATGATTGACTGTGCTGAGAACTCTCCAGGGTAGGAAAGGCTTATGGGCATTAGAAAGAGGCCTTAGACCTCGCTGACCACACAGGTGTGTGCTGTGAAAACGGACAGCGACGCTCCTCTATCAGTGTTCTGCGTGTGCCTTGCATGTCTGGCTCTGTGACCAATGTTTGCTGAGCAAACCTGGGTCAAGTGACTGACAGACAGGATGGTGTCACTGTGCCCGTCACTTAAGTGCAGCTCAGTCACTCCAACATGGTTTCACGTTCGCAGAGTGTCAAGTTATGAGCAAGAAAGACTTACCTGGCCAGTCCTTGGCATGGTTGAATCTGTGCCATCTCACAGAAGATAAGCCTGTCTACCTGCTCTCTCTCTCTCTCTCTCTCTCTCTCTCTCTCTCTCTCTCTCCCTCTCTCTCCCCATTTCTCTTTTCTTCTCTCCATCTGTCTCTCTTTCTCTCTCTCTCTGTCTGTCTCTTCTCATCTCTTTTTTCTTCTCTCCATCTCTGTCTCTCTCTCTCTGTCTCTGTTTGTCTCTGCCCATCTCTCTTTTTTTCTCTCTGTCTCTCTCTCTGTCTTTGTCTATCTGTCTGTCTCTTCCCATCTCTCTTTTCTTCTCTCTGTCTCTCTCTGTCTTTGTCTCTGTCTATCTATCTGTTTCTGCTCATCTCTCTTTTCTTTTCTCTGTCTCTATGTCTTTGTTTGTCTATCGATCTGTCTCTGCTCATCTCTCTTTTCTTCTCTCCGTTTCTGTCTCTCTCTCTCCTCCCCTACCTGGATATTCCCATTCCTGGATATCTTATCTCTTCATCTCCTCACAGTTCTTCCCTCTTCTGTCTTCCATCCCCCTTTCCCTTCCTTCCTTCATTTCTTCTTCACATACCCTGTCTTTTTTTCCTTCTTTGGTGTCACATTTTATATTTTTGCTTACTATCCAGATGAATTACATAACAATCACTCTCTCCAGGCTGGGTGAGAGCCTGCTGAAGACGAAGACTCGTGTGGGGCATGGCTTTCATGAGAACATCATCCCAAGACCAAATCCTCAGGCTTGCATCGCTGACCAAGGCGATCTAGACTGAGGCAGCCTAGGATTAGACAGGCTGTCTTCTTGGAGTGTGTGAAATGGGAGGCAGGGGCAGCTTTCAGGGTGACAGACTTGCTCTGTCCCTGCCCAGTGACCTGGAATCACCACAGTCCTGGAGGGCAGATAATCAATTGCCTTGTCCTGTCTACAAAGAAACACAGGCGGTGGTAGCACTATAGGGCTGAGGGAGCTGCCATTTTAACATAATGCTACATAGATGCTTCTGTACAGCCATGCACGTGTGCATGCATGCACACCTGCCTGCATGTTCATGCAAGCTCGTGGCTTCAGCACACAGAGGGGAGCTGACCCTCTTCCACATGAGTTTCTCCAATTCAAGCCTGGTGACAGACACCCCAAAGTTAGGCTTCATCACCACCCTAGTTCAGCTGGGGGACTCTAAGGCCCAGGAGATCGGCTATCTGGCAGCTGGTCCAGAATTTGAACCCGGGGTAGGGTCTGTTGGCACTGCAGTAGCAGCTATGGCGGGTTGAGCCATGGCTTCCCCATGCAGGGAGCAGAAGGGCGCGCATCTGCTGCATGGATGCTCTCAGTGCTGTCTTTCTACAAAGTCAGATGCACGGCTCATGCTGGGCAGCGGAGCCTGTGGTACCTCTGCTGCTCAGTGGCCAAGCCAAGAACACTGTTGGGCCAGCAGTGGTGCCACAGCCCAACTCCTGCCATAGACCTCACTTTGCTCATTCGCAAATGGGGTGAGGTTCTCTGTTCTACAAAGGGGTGTCAAGGAATGAGGTCACCCAGGTAAGGCTATCACGTAGAATAAGCCTCAGGATGGTCGGTGTCCTATTCTAGGCAGTTCCCTAGCGTTGTGTGTTAACGTGACTTCCTTAGGGTAGTATGGATTGTGGAATATCTCCCAGAAGAGGAGACTTGGGAATAATCCAAAGGCCAGCCAGGAGTCACAAGGCGGGCACTGCATTAGGGTGTCAGTTGTGACAAATGCATGGGGAGATGCAGGGTGCTATCGTTAGGCAGAGGGAGACAGGAAGTGGCCTGTGGTGACTCTGTGGGATTTTTGCTGTGTTCTTTTCAATCTAAAATTAACTAAAAAACAAAACCACAATCGAACAAACACCTTTTTAGTGTCACTTCTTTTGTTCCCATTTCTTCACAGCCAGTGGTTTACAGAATGAGGGAGCAGCTTAGGGACACATTCCAGGCACTTTCCTTGTTTGTACCTCGCTGTTCCACGGTGTAACTGAGGCTATGTCCTACTCCTTGGAAAGGCAGGGGAAATCGGAACCAGGGCTTCCAGGCGCTGCGAATGGTCTGGGACTAGGGAGGCTGCTCTGAGTCTGACAAAATGGGCCCCGAGATGTCACAGCTATCCCTTTTCGGTTTCATCATGGCTGTAGGAACATACCACTGGCCATTATAGAACCCCACTGTTGAATGCTGCTGAACATGGAGGGCCTGAGGATCCACCCTGGTACTGAATCTGAGCCTTCAGGTTGTCTCCTCACAGTGCCACGCTGTCTTCTATGTCTTTGTGTCTCTGCCCCTGATTGCTGACATCTCCATGTATTTCAGTTCCTCCATGTTGTTTGCTGTTTTCTACATTGCTTATCTCACGGAGACATGTCTATCTCTATAATAATGGCTGCTGGCCTTCAAGGAGTAATTCTCCAGCCTCAGCCCCACAAGTACTGGGATTGCAGCTGTGAGCCACTGTGTCCAGCATGCCTCCTGGTTTCATTAATTCTCCTATCAAAAAGGCTTCTGCAGGTCACCCACTCTACAAAGCTGTGCATGCTACAGTCCACACTCCAACATCGCCTCCTGTAGCCACACTCAGCTCACTCTGGCTGCTCTGGTCTCTTGATCCAGTCTATTCTTGTCCTGTCCTTTACTAGACTCTTCTACCTGCTCTTTCTAAAGACCAGGACATTGTCCCTTTAGAAGATCCTTCCTTATACTCAGCATAATTAGAAACACACACACACACACACACACACACACACACACACACACACACACTCTGTATGTCATTCAGTGGCCATTCATGTTCTTCAAGCACATTTCAAAAAGCACTTGTCCCTGTACAAGACTATCTGTTGATATCGTCAGAGGCCTAACTATGTTGAAAGTCTCTGGAGATGAGGGAACACACCTTTCTCACTTAGTGCCCAGCTTGGTACATGTACCAAGAGTCTAACAGGGTGCCTGGCTCACAAGAATGTATTGCAACAAGCAGGACATAGGCTGTAAGTGTGAGCAGCCCAACCTCATGCCTCCTGCCAGACCTAAACAGCCCTGCTTTTTCCATAATATATGCATACATACACACATATGTAAACACATGCTAAACCAGGAACACTATTGACCTCATCCTCACCATTCCTGAGAGTTATCTCTCAGCCTCCATTGGAGGTATTTTCTAAGAACTCCCTTGCTTATACGCAAACCCTCTGCTCCTCAAGTCTTTATATAACCTAGTGTATGACCTATACATCCCTCCTTTGTCCTTCCAGTTATCCCCAGACATAGAGTGAATAGAATATCTCAGCTGTGTACGTCACTGCAGGACCACAGTGCTCCTGAGATGAGGATAGGGGGTGATGTGTCTGCAGGCTTAGCACAGAGCAGGGGTTCCCCCATTTTTTGATCCACCACCTGTGTAATCTGTGAAGGACGCCATGGACACAGAGTGCTGATTGATATTACAAAGACTGGTCTGCTCTTTTGACCAATCAAAATGGAAGCTCAATGCTAGACTTTTGGCTTAGGGGAAGCCTACATAGCAGAGTGAAGACTCTCTCTGTTCAGGGGTTGGTGAACTTGACCTCAGTGTTCCTGGTTGATCAATGCATAAGAGTCAGGGCTATTGCTTCCCAGGAGGGGTTTTCCAGGATTCCTGTGGGTGAAACACACAGTCTGAATTTGCTTTTATTCCTTTACAGCTTCTGAAGCAAGATATTACACACCTGGTAAGTACTTTGAAAAGATGGACTTGTATCAGTATATAGTGTCCCCCATGTCGTAATAACCACTGCCTCACTAAATGGATATGAATGACACTAGGCTGCATTGAAAAATCTGGGTCCAGTCTGGACATTCAATGACAACAGAAGCTGAGCCGGGTGGTGGTGGCCCATGCCTTTAATCCCACCACTCAGAAGGCAGAGCCAGGCGGATCTCTGTGAGTTCGAGGCCAGCCTGGTCTACAACGTGAGTTTCGTGACAGGCTCCAAAGCTACACAGAGAAACCCTGTCTCAAACCACTATCCCTAAAAAAAAAAAAAAAAAAAAAATGACAACCGAAGCTTCTGTCAGCTAGCGCATCAAGGCTCATGTGGTAATACAATCACGGTCTTCATTGATGTTGCCTCTGCCTCGAATTTCAGTGTGTCTCAGAATCAAATAAAATATCTGAGCGTGGGTCTTGGGATTCACATCCTTCCCACAAGAGATTGTGACTTGGAGACCCAGAGTTGCTCAGGGACCTGTGCTTCTCCAGATGATATGTGAGGACAACCTGTCCCCTCCAGACATTGAGAAAACACCTCTGTGGTCCAAGACTACTAAAACTTTAGTATTAAAAGGATATAGGGCCAATAGTTTGTTAAGACTTCAGAAAGCAGAACAATATGTACTTATTTATTTATTTATTTTTGAGGCCCCGGCAGATCAGGCTGGTCTACACAGACTTGCTGAGTAGGCAAGGCTACCCTTGAACTCCTGATCCTCTTACCTGTAGTTCCAGAGTTCTGGGATTCCAGGAGTGTGCTGCCATGCCCAGCTCTTGTTTACCATATCTGAAATGATGTAACTTCATCTCCACCACATTAGCTTTTATCAACTTCCTCTGTAGCGGAGAAATTATGAAGGTTACTCAGAATGAAGCTGGGAGTTCGGCAGCTGTGGGTTGATCTTCAGTATGTCCACCCTAAGTTGCAGGACCATGTCACCATTTAAAGGTGACCTGAGCAAGAGACAGGGCCCATTTAAACAATTTGCACATTTATGTTTGAAGCTCATGTCTTACTTAAAAGGGGTATATTCGAAACAAATCCATTAAAGAAAAAAGGGTGAGCTAGGTATTGCTACACACACACACATACACACACACACATGCACATACACACACACACATGCACATACACACACACACACACACACACACACACACACACACACACACACACACACTTCTAGCACTCAGGAGCCGAGTTAGGACGCTTATGAATTTCAGTCTAGCCTAGTGTATTTCAGGGATATTGAATTTAAAAATATTCACATACAAAAACAGGCAAACAGGCATTCCAGCCTTCTGCTTGAATATTATATTGGGCATATCAGCCAATGCAATTAGATAAGAACAATTAATTAGTTGTGTAAGTATGAGAAACATTTTTGTATTGATTTCCTAGAGCCCAGCACAGGTCAAATGAAGAATTAGGGTCTGTAGGTTAATAACATTCTCTACACAAATAGCCTTTGATAATGGGAGAACTCAAGACTACATAGATTTCTTATGCATCTAAAATCACATAGCCTTGTCCAGTACAGACCCCGAATCATGTGCTGTCAGCAGATTTCACTGTACTTTCATGTCTTGGTTTTTCTCAATGGAGACTTAACTTAATATTTTCCATCTCTCTCTCTCTCATCTATGTATGGACATGCAGAGCCAACCACTCAAGAGCCTTACACCACCCCAGAGCCTTATTCACCAATAGGTAACAAAAGCTGTTTAAATCTCTCTCTCTGTAGGTTGTAATGCCAGTGTCATTCATGGTGGTGACTTTTCTTGAGTGAGTTAATGGGATGAGGTGGTGGATATGTGTTGTGAAATCTTAGAGAAGGTGGATTTACCTCCTGTTCTTGGGGGCTTTCCTTCACTGGGATCCCTGTGACTGCCCATTTCTGTGTGTGGACTATGTAGTATAGGGGTGTTTTTCAAAATCTTATGGTCACTAAATTAGTGTTATGTTAGAAGAAACTTTAGGGTTAGGGGGTCTAAAATAGACAAGCTTCCAGAGAGGTTTCTGAGGCAAAATGGGACTGATGGATGATATATTATGCGATCCCATTCTGAGGCCCTTCAAGGAGGTGCCCAGTCTAGAGAGCTAGAGGCTTAGTCCAGGCCAAAACTGGAGCCAACGTTTGTCTTGTTTAAACATGTTGGGTCCTTGAAACCTTGACTTTGGTGATAAGTTCACATCAGCAGTCTTGGTGACCAGCAGTGATAAAGCCCGGGGTTCTTTAGTGGGCTGTTATTGTACATAGAATGTGAGCTCATGGAGGCAGTCATGTGACCCAGCTCAGTGGGTGAACAATAGCTTCTACCCATGCTTAATACCTTTCTAGTGGGCCTGAAAGGCAGTTCTGATATACACTCTCCACCTTGTCTGGGTAAGCAGCTGGTGAGAGCCTTTGTCCGGGACCCATGCATTTTTTTCTCCTCTGCCAGGAAGCTCATCATTCTATCTTTTTGGTCTGTCATAGAGCAATCTCCTGTTCATTGACTTTATTGCTGGTGGGTGAGGGTCAGGGTGGGGAGGATGTGCCCGTGTGCAGTCTGTGTGTTAGGAGTAGGAGGGCTCTGCTTGCTCTCTCTCCTTGAAACAGTCCACGTTCTGCAGTGGATGTTGTCATCCAGAAGAGAGCATGGCACTCAAAGGCCTTAGATACAAGATGGAGTAGGTGTCTGGCCACCATCCAGGGCAGATTCAACCCATGTCAACACTGCAGACACAGAGCCCTCCTGGTGACAGACACACCTTCAATGTCTAGAACACAAGTAGTGAACATTCCATGAGGAGGTGAAGTCAGAGTGACAGGGTGAAGTCTTTCTAAGACAGGATACCTGAGAAGCAACAATGGGAGGAACTCACATCCTATATTGTATTAAACCCCATGAAAGAGCTGCCCGTGATCACACCAGCTCCATCATCCCTACGGGAACAACAAAGGAGAATCCACCATGTCTTTCCAGGAACAGAGTCTCCTTTGGCTGTGAGGCTGGTGAATGGAGGAGACAGGTGTCAGGGTCG